CATGCCCCAATCTCCAGGAGATACCTGTCTGGGCCCACCCTGGTGTCTCCCAACCCTAAAACCTCCCTCTTTGAAGGAGCCTGGCCATTGTGGAGACACTCATTCTCCTTGCCCAATAGCCACCACAAGGAGGAGACACCTCCAGCAACATGTCTCTCCAGATCCCAGCACATGCCAGAGTATTGGTTTTATTTATTCATTCACAGGTTGAGGTTCTCGCTGGCTCAGTCAGAATTTATTGCCCATCCCTAATTGCCCAGAGGGTAGTTAAGAGTCAACCACATTGCTGTGGGTCTGGAGTCACATGTAGCTCAGACCAGGTAAGGATGGCAGTTTCCTTCCCTAAAGGACATTAGTGAGCCAGATGGGTTTTTCCAACAATTGACAATGGATTCTTCGTCATCATTAGACTCTTAACTCCAATTTTTATTGAATTCAAATTCCACCATCTGCTGTGGTGGGATTCAAATCCAGGTCCCCAGAACATTACATGGGTTTCTGGATGAACAGTCCAGCGATAATACAACTAGGCCGTCACCTCCCCGGTAGGAGGACCACCTACTGATTTTTGGGTCTGGTGCTGGACCTTTAGTCACCTCTACCATATTCAGCCAATAATCTCCGCTTCATTCACTCACTCTGTGGTATATCACAGCAACTTCATAGAGTCATAGCTTTGTACAGCACATAAACAGACCCTTCTGTCTAACTGGTCCATGCCCACCAGATATCCTAAATTAATCTAGTCCCATTTACTGGCCCACATCCTGCTAAACCCTTCCTATTGATGTACCCATCCAGATGCCTTTTAAATGTTATAAATATATCAACTTCCACCATTTCCTCTGTCAGCTCATTCTATATATGCACCACCCTCTGTGCGAAAAAGTTGCCCCTTAGGTCTCTTTTATATCTTTCCCCTCTCATCTTAAACCTATGTCATCCAGCTTTGGGTTCCCCCAACCTGGGAGAAAGACTTTGGCTATTCACCCTATCTATGTCCCTAATGATTTTATAAACCTCTATAAAGTCACCCCTCAGCCTCTGACGCTCCAGGGAAAATAGCCCCAACGTATTTAGCCTCTCCCTGTAGCACAAACCCTCCAATCCTGGCAACGTCCTCGTAAATCTTTTCTGAACCCTTTCAAGTTTCACAACATCCTTCCTATAGCAGGGAAACTAGAATTGAACCCAGTATTCCAAAAGTGGCCTAACCAATGTAGTATATAGCTGCAACATGACCTCCCAATTCCTATACTCAAAGCACTGACCAATAAAGGCAAGCGTACCAAACACCTTCTTCTCCACCCCATCTACCTGGGATACCACTTTCAAAGAACTATGAACCTGCAATCCTAAGTCTCTTTGTTCGTCAACCTTACCATTAAGTATATAAGTCCTGCCCTGATTTGCCTTTCTAAAATGCAGCACCTCACATTTATCTAAATTAAACTTCATTTCCCACTCCTCAGCCCATCGGTCCATCTGATCAAAGTCCTATTATATTCTGAGATAACGACTTACTGATGTCCACATAGACAACGTTCGCTGCTCTACCTTCATCAGTCTTTTTTGTCTTGTCTTCAAAAAACTCAATCAAGTTAGTGAGACACAATTTCCCACGCACAAAGTCATGTTGACTATCCCTAATCAGTCCTTGCCTTTCCAAATACATGTAAATCCTCAGGATTCCCTCCAACAACATGCCCACCACTGACGTCAGGCTCACCAGTCTGTAGTTCCCTGGCTTTTCCTTAAATAATTTCTTAAATAGTGGCATTACGTTAACCAACCTCCAGTCTTCCAGCACCTCACCTGTGGCTGTCAATGATACAAATATCTCAGCAAGGGGCCCAGTAATCACTTCCCAGGTTCCCACAAAATTCTGGGATACACCTGGTCAGGTCCCAGGGGTTAATCCACCTTTATGTGTTTTAAGATGTCCAGCTCTTCCTCCTCTGTAATATAGACACTTTTCAAGGCATCACTTTATTTCTTTAAGTTCTCCAGCCTGCGTGTCCTTCTCCACAGTAATTACTGACCTGAAATATTCATTTAGTATCTCACTCATCTCCAGTGGTCCACACATAGATGGTCACATGGGTCTTTAAGGGGCTCTAATTCTCTTACTCATTGCTCTTGAGCTCTTAATGTACTTACAGAATCTCTTTGGATTCTCCTTAACTTTATTTGCCAAAGCTATCTCGTGTTCCCTTTCTTCCCTCCTGATACTCTTACTGCCTTTATACTCCTCCAGGGATCCCAAATGTCTATACCTGCCACATGGTTCCTCCTCCTTTTTGACCAGAGCCTCAATTTCTCAAGTCATCCAGCATTCCCTACACCTACCAGCCTCGCCCTTCACACTAACAGGAACAAACTGTCTCTGGACTGTCGTTATCTTCGGTAGATCACCAATCCCTGCTCGGAGTGGATTTCACTACCTTCTAACTCTGAGTGAAAAAGGTGTCTCCTGCTCTCTGTCCTAAATCTCTTACAGTTAATCTTATACCCGTACTGGCCCTAGTTCTATGCCCTTAAACATGGCAGCAAATTGTCTTTATATCTACTGCCTTGCATCCCTTAATCTTCTCTGCTAGCAGTCCCAACACCCCCTAACAATCACCCCAGACATCACAGAGTTATTAATCAGTCACAGGCCAATGGGAATCCTGACAGTGGGCCAGAAAGTGAGGGTGGGGGTGAGGGAGAGGTCTTCATTCCTCAAATGTCTGATTGACCTGAAGCCAAAAAGGCAGCACTGGGGTTCCCATCCCTGTTAAGGAGTTCCTGGCCAATCAGAGAATTGGCAGCTCAGTAGCGCCGCTGGCGGTGATGGCCACTGATGGAGCTGCGCCTGGAAGATGAGGGCACCGTGACAGGGGCTGTCCTCCAGACCAGGGAAAGGGAGAGTAAGGCTGCTGGAACCAGGCAACCATCGCCCACCCCCACCCCAGAGACAGAGAGAGAGGATGGGGAAGGTGGTTGTTGAAGGTGGAGGGAGGGAAACTTAATTCGTGAGGCAGGGGTCCCTGATCAAAGGGTGCCGTAGCTGGGCACTAAATCCCATTGGGAAACCACCGGCACTCAGCAGACAGAGTCCTCATTTAGCGGAGGGTGTATCCAGCATTGGTAAAATGCCAGGAATAGCCAGAAGAAGCTCTTAATCAGTCATTTAAATGGTTCAATTGGCGCCTGGGATAGGAGGGCAGTCCTTTACCCTCCCAGGCACTGGCAAGATGATATGCCTGTTGTTCTGTTCACTGTGTATCATCCTCAAGTAAAGTAGTCACATCAACAATCCTTGTGTGTGATTGGTACGTTTACTTCCAAGATGAAGTTGATATCAGGAATCTGTGACTTCTTTGCTGGTTTAGAGAAGTTCACTTCAAGTGTTGTGTTTTATCATTTGACCATGAAATATATTTCTGGCAAAAAAATAATACTGATTTCAGATTTGCCCATAACCAAAAGCAAACTGTTGCAGATGTGAAATAAATGCTGGAAAGCATTCTATCTGGATGCATCATAGTTTAGTACGACACCAGCTCTACCCAGGACCGTAAGAAATTACAGAAAGTTGTGAACACATCCCAGTCCATCATGCAAGCCAACCTTCCATCCACTAACTCCATCTATATTTCTTGCTGCGTTAGAAAGGCAGCCAACATCATTAAAGACCCCTCCCACCCTGGTTGTAATCTCTTCCAACCTTTTCCACCAGGCAGAAATAAAAGCTTAAACACACAAACCAACAGGCTCAAGAACGGCTTCCTCCCTGCTGTTATTAAACTTCTGAATGGATCTCTCAAATTTCAAATCTAATGTTGATCTTGCTTTTTATGCACCTTCCTCGCAGCTGTGAATTTGTATTCCTCGCTCTGTTCAATCACCCTATAATCTTTGTATGTTATGATCTGCCTGTGCTGCACACGAGACAAAACTTTTCACTTGTACTTATGTACACGTGACAACAATAAATCAAATCAAATGGAAGTGTAGGAGAAACTCAGCAGAGAGAGAGGAACATTTCGAGTCAGACAGAAATCTATGTGACCCCGTCTACAGTTCTGAAGGAGAGTCATATTAAACTCAAAACATGGCGCTGTCTGAACACAATGGTTTCTCGCTCCCTCTCACTTCCCTGCCTTGCAGCCCGTCTCCAGATGCCTGGTGTAATTCCCATCCATTGGGACGAGGAGGAAATAATGTGAAATTTTCACACTGCAGGGAGCTGGAAGCAGAGCCATGTTGCGCTGTAGCTCAGCAGAAAGCCTTACAGTCAAACTGAATCCCATCACTGGAGACCAATGAGACATGAAGACATGGTATTTGACATTTGCGAGTTTGCCAGAGTTGGGTAGCACTCTCAATTTTAGGGTTAGTTGATCACAGATTGATCCATGGGAATGAAGGAACAGGATCATTGTGGCTCCTGTCAGATATCTACAAAACAAAAATCTTTGTTTCGAGGAATATTTGGAAGAAACAGCTTTGCAACTTGTTAGTGAAACAGATCAATTTTTATAAGTGAAAATTGTGCAAATTTGAAAGAAAACAGAAAGTGCCGCAGAAGCTCAGCAGAGTGAAACAGTATTAACATTTTGAGTTCAATATGACTTTTCTTCCGAACTATAGATAGGGGTCACACAGAGTCATGTCAGTCTCAGAATGTTAACTCTATCCCTCTCCCTGATGAGTTTCTCCAGCGCTTTCTGCATTTTTTTTAAAAAACATCTTCATCATCCGCAATGCTTTGCTTTTAGCTGTGGGCAAATCTGAAGTCAGTTTGTTTTCTTGCCAGGGAATTATTTCACGGTCAAATGATAAAACTCAACATTTTCCATGATCTTCAGCCAATATGCAAGGAAGTCGCAGAATTCCCGATATTCGGAGAGGGTGTAAGTCTGGAGGAAACTTCTCTGGCTGTCTGAGGTGTAAGGGTGTGAATCTAAGGGGTCTCTTGGGGACTTGCAATTAGCCCTCGCTCTGCATCTTACCAACACCACTCCCAGGCCTGAGTAGGACTTGGCACAACGCAGTGATCTTCCTCCTGTTCAGGCACCACAATTAGCTCCCACTTGACACAGCTCCATCTGTAGCTGCAGAGAAGGCTGCTTGTTTGAGAACCAGAATTAGAGCTCGCTGTTTGTCTCTCCATCTGTAATTGGAATAAGGTGCAAGCCACTGTCTGTCATGGCATTGAATTTAGACCTCAATATAACTCTCCCCATCTGTTGTTCGAACACAATGTTAATCACCAACTGTCAGTTTATGGTGAATCGAACTTCATACAAATGCTCCATTTCCATACCTGGAATAAAGTGTAAATCTCTGATCTAAGAAAAGACATAATGGCACTGGAGAGAGTCCAGAGAAGCTTTTCTGTGTTATGTGAAGAGGTTGTGTAGGCTGACTGGGTCTGTACTCATTGGAGTTCAGACCATCAGACGTAGGAGCAGAAATAGGCCATTCAGCCCATTGAGTCTGCTCCACCATTCAATGAGATTATGGCTGATAATCCTCAAAGATAATCCTTCGTAGAATGACAGGTGACCTACTGAAACATACAACATACTTAAGGGGCTTGCCAGGGTTGTTTTCCCTTGTGGGGAACCAGGGGTCACCATCTCAAAGTATGGTGTCACACATTTAAGAAGAGATGAGGAGGAATTTCTTCTTTCAGAGGGTAATGAATCTGTGGAATTCTTTACCACAGAGGGCTGTCTGGGCTGGATCATTAAGTATATTCAAGGCTGAGATAGACAGATTTTTAACCAGTAAAGGAATCACGGGCTATGGGGGAAAAGGCAGGAAATTGCAGTCGAGGCTTATCAGATCAGCCATGATCTCATTGAATGGTGGAGCAGACTGGATGGGCTGAATGGCTCCTACTTCTTTTGGGCTTTGTAAAAGTTAGCTGCCTGTCTGCCTGACTCCATCTGTACAGGACTGAGGTTTAACTTGTCCATACTCACCTTTCATTTCAAATGGGGACATACAGATACTCCAGGTAGGCTGTACAATTACTCCAGGTGCCCTTTAAGTTTATGCGAATGGTATCAGCGATGGGGGCCCTCAGTTAGAGGCTTGAGGATATTAAGTGATGAGGTGGGATTGGATAGAGATTCAGTTTCCTGCACGGTTACGATGAAGCGTACAAAGAGAAACCATCTGTACTGGCGTTCAGTCATAAATCCATCAGGAAACTCAGGAAAATCTCCGTTGTTCAGAGAGTGGTAAGAATGTGGAACTCACAAATGCTTGTGATGATTAGGGGCATTTGAGGAGAAGCTAAATAAACACAGGAGGGGGGCGGGGAGAGAAGATATCCTTGTGATGATGGGATGACAGGAGACTAGTATGGTTATACTGGATCAAATAGCCTGTTTCTGTGTCATCTGTACTGTGTAAAAACTGCAGGGGTTGTTATAACCTGGAGAATATTGTCTCAAAGAGTGATTCAGGTAGGTTCAACAGCAACATAACAACCTGTTAATAGTCAAGCACATTGGTGTGGAGTCATGCTAAGGACCAAAGTGCTTAAGGATGGCAGATTTTCTTCTTTTAAGGACATCCATGGAGTAAACAGGGCTTTGTCAACAATCCAAAATTGTCCTGATCTCTTTAACCTGATATCAGCTTTTCACGGGAGATCAGCTTTTTAAGACAGATCAGCTTTTGATATTATTTCACAAAGGTTTTTCTGAAGTCAGAAGCCCTGAAAATCGAGGTGATCTCTCGTAACGAGTCTCTTATTCAGCCAACTACTGGACCTTCTCTCAGCAAGAAGTCGGAATGGAAGTACTCACAGGGTTAAGCAGAACAGTGAGGAAGAGCTCTCCTCCATTAATGATCTTATCCAATTCTCTGGGCCCTCCGGGGTATTCGCTGTAGAATATTGTATGTGTGAAAAGGCCACAAGTCTGACGAGGCAGAACCTTCAGAGAGACAAGTAAAAAAGAAACAATGTCAGTTGCAAAGATTTACCCATCTCCCACAGACAGCACTGTCAACATTTCATGAGACACTGGCTCAGTGGCACAGATCAACTTATACGACAATGAGCCGCAACGTAATATTGCTACGTTTATCAGTGACAAGTGCACAGTCGCTCCAGGGAACTAGCTGACGGGAATCCCTTGAGAGTTCTTGGTGAAAACGAAAGCAGAACATCAAAGTGGGCCTCCTCTGCTTCAATAAGAAGGGAATCTGAAGTGTTACTGAGGCCAGAACTGTCAGCGCTGCACTGACAAACTCATTATAAGAAACTGTCAGAGCTTGGGATAATGCATTGGGAGTATCACGATACATACTTAGAATGAGTGGCCTGCCCAGTCAGGGTCTGTATTACGCAGGGAGCCAGGCTGATCCCAGACCTGAGCCCTCCCATTTCTTAACACTTAGTTGTTGGCAGTGTGCAGCTCATGTGGTTGACAAGCCTACTCTCAATATCCCACAGAATATCTCCTTGGACAAAGATGGCTTATTAAAATTCTTCAGTGGCTTGCAGGCATCTCTTGCCCATCTCAATTTGCCCTTGAACTGAGTGACGTACAGGGCCATTTCAGGGGGTAATTAAGAGTCAATCTCATTGCTGTGGGTCTGGAGTCACATGTAGGTCTGTCCAGTTAAGGATGCTAGATTTCCATCCCTGAAGGAACCAGATGTGTTTTACAATATTCAATGATAGGTTCGTGGTCCCTATTATTGAGATGAGCTTTCAAATCCAGAGTAGTGAGTTAGTGGAATTCACTACCTCCAAAAGCATTCAACTTCAGAATGTGGTATTATATCAAGAGGGAATTGGATATACCAGTTGGGGGAAAGCAATTGAGTTGAATGATCGGCCATGACCATAAAGAATGGAATATTCATTAAGAGCCGAGTGGCCTTACTTGGGTTCCTATCTTCTATGTTTCTATGTTAATTAGTTGAATTAGATTCTACCATGAATGACATTACCACTGTATCACCATTTCCCCTAGCCAGTGTCTCGTCCATATCCCCATACTCCTGTTCCTGTTGGTACACAAGGCACTGACTTGAATAGACCTCTGTCCTTGGCTCTTGCTTCTGAGCTGATGAAGGATTGTCACTGCTCCCAAACCCAAGCTACAGGTTCAAATCACATCTTCCTCCTAAAGGATGGCACGGTGGTTAGCACTGCTGCCGCATGGTGCCAAGGACCCGGGTTCGATTCCAGCCTCAGGTGACTGTCTGTGTGGAGTTTGCACATTCTCCCCATGTCTGTGTGGGTTTCCTCTGGGTGCTCCGGTTTCCTCCCACAGTCCAAAGATGCGAAGGTTTTGTGGATGGGCCATGCTAGATTGCCCCATAGCATCCAGGGATGTGTAGGTTAGGTGGGTTAAACATGGGAAATGCAGGGTTACAGAGTAGGGGGGATGGGTCTGGGTGGGATGCTCTTCAGAGGGTGGCGTGGACTCATTGGACCAAATGGCCTGTTTCCACATTGTAGGGATGCTATGGAAGAACTTGTAGTCCAAGAGCTGATGCCCTTGTTACTTTCAAATTGATGCGTACTCTTCCCCTCTCTATTGTAGTTGTGTGTGGAATTAAAATCTAAGGTTCAGAGGCTCCTCTAATGGTTCCTATTGGAGAGCTGTGACATGGCGTTAAAGCTCTTACCATGATACCGTTGTGTTTGAGTCCTCGTCGGAATCGAGCTGGTTTCAAGTGTGGGTATTCCTCTGTACTTGTGACTTTCACCCCCCAGACGTGCTTCCACGCTTCGTAGAGCTGGATGTGAACAGGGTAAACTCCAGAATGATGAGGCGCTACTGCGTAACCCATGTCAACGGGGATACCATGCTCCTGCAAGAGAGAAACAGAATCACCAGTTTGAAATTGGACAGCTGAATAAACAAGGGTCACAAGTTAATTTTCCTCCCGGCCTTTAGCTTTTTCTTTGAAAGTCCCTTAATCTCCACATAGGCTGCCAGGAGTCTGACAATGGTATACTCAAGTGTGACAAAACTGTGGCATTAAGAGGTGTACATTGTCTTGTTGTTTTTTGAAGAGAGGTTTTAAGGCAGAGGTGCTGAGCAGTCTACCCGAGCCACTGCAGTAAACAGCCTGTGAGGCCTTGGTTTTTGTTAAAAGTTGGAAGCAGCCTGAACGGGTGTGGCCTAGCTCCCACCGAACCAGGATTTTTAGTTGTAACTTTCAGCACTTGTGGTTGGGGTCTTGAAGAGGAGGAAGCTATTTTTTCTCTCTCTCAGTTACAGTTAAAAGTTGGGGGTTCTCTTCCTGCTACTGGAGTTGCATGAGGCAATCTGTTTTCTGAATTTGCCTTTTTCCAAGGGTGTGTTTATGGGATGTTACTATGTTGGAACAGTTCATTAGTAATAGCTACTGTATCTATTAAGAACATAGAACATAGAACAGTAGAGCACAGTACAGGCCCTTCGGCCCACGATGTTGTGCCGACCTATTATCCTACTAAGATCAACCTACCCTGCATACCCTACATTTTACTATCCTCCATGTGCCTATCCAAGAGTTGCTTAAAAGTCTCGAAAGTATCTGACTCCACTACCGCTGCTGGCAGCGCATTCCACACGCTCACCACTCTCTGTGTAAAGAAATTGTTCTGGTAAGTTTTCCAATAGACTTAAGTTATTCCACTTCTTTCTTTATTTTGTTATTTTTTAACTATAGTGAATAAATAAAGTGAGTTTTGCTTTAAATCTGGTAGTTTGACCAATCAAATTGCATCTGGAAGACAACACCTTACAGTTACCTTGAAAATAAGAAAACGTTAGGGTCCAAACTATTTTCTGAATATTTCGAGGGGATTTGGTCTGATCCATAACATAAGAAGGTGTTTTATTGTGTCTGGGCTTATCTTGTCCCCCTTTAACATCTCTGTGCTACTCTGTCCTCTGACTTTGCTTCACAAAGTTCCTGCCCCACTGATAGAACGCAGGCAATGCTTTTACCGAGTTGCCCCAAATATTCGATTATCAAGGTACTATCAAGTGTCAACATATCATTAGTGCAGGCTCATTCAGTCACTAGACTGGCCTGTGTTCTGTAGAATGTGAGTGTTAGATTGCGAAGAAAGAGCGTGAGAGGAAGGATGAAATGTGGGCTAGGCAGGCAATGTTCTGAACCAACTAGTCAGACAGAAAGACAAGCTAGCAAGTGAGATAAAGAGTAGAAGTTCAGCAACTGCATAGTACAGTCATTGGGAGAAAGATGTTCAAGAATGGACCTTGGAAAGAAAAACCAGGCAGACTGAATTCTGCAAAAACAGAAGGAGAAATTGATGGTGAAAAGTGAAGTGAAAGAAAAGAAATCAGGTGGTGGATGACATTGAGACATGGACAGAAGAATCATAGCATCTGTACAGTGTGCATGCAGGCCATTCAGCCCATTGAGTCCACATCCCAAAACTCTGAACATCCCCCTACCCTGTCCCTGTAACCCTGCATTTCCCATGGCTAACTCACCCAGCCTGCGCATCCCTGGACACTGTGGGACAATTTCCCATGGCCAATCCATCTAACCGGCACATCTTTGGACTGTGGGAGGAAACCGGAGCACCCGGAGGAAACCCACACAGACACAGGGAGAATGTGCAAACTCCACACAGACAGTCACCTGAAGGTGGAATCGAACCCAGGTCCCTGGCGCTGTGACAACATCCTTGTAAATCTTTTCTGAACCCTTTCAAATTTCACAACATCCTTCCTATAGCTGGCAATTTATTACAGATGGTTTTAGAGCCCTTGGTTGTGGGAAATGGAATTCAAAATAGCAGAGAACGTGGCATTCTAAACGAAACTCATCCTTTATCACCAGAAGCAATGGCTGGATTTGTATAAGTCAAATGGACGGCCATAACAGAACTGTTGAGAGGCACTTACAACACCCAGCAGGTTTCTGCATTCTCCTGTAATCTCAGCGTGGCTTCATGACATGTCTCTGCAAAGGCCTGTTAATGATATTCACAGCACACGCTGGTTTCACTATCACAGACCACACTCCATGTGTGCAGATGCTCTGCCAGTCTGTGCCAAGCTGACCTTGCTCAAGCCTGGTGCCAGTTGGTGCATTATGATTCCCCTCAGTACCGCTGGGCGAGTGCTTCCGCACCCCCGACACCCCACCACCCCTCCCCTACCCTCCCCCGCCCCCCCCACCAACGGATGCCCCTACTGGGCAGAACATGTGCTCGGAGTTGCCAATTCTTCGGAAGCACCCTGGAATTTTCAGGATCATCTCCCGGAAACCGTAGGCAACAAACACCCAATGAAAAACGATCCAACGTCAAGATTCAGGATTTCAAAAACAAATTATTTCAATGCATTAATTTATTAGGCACAAAAATACTGGGGAGCCAGAAGACACTATTTGACTGATGGTTAAGATTAATCCATTTGGGAATCAGGGGGCTGGAAAGTTGCTATTCACTGGTGTGCTGAGGAGAGACTGGATTAGTTAAACTATATTCACTGACTTTAGAAGAATGAGGGGGGATCTCATAGAAACCCACAAAATTCTGACTATGAAGTAACTCCACAGATGCTGGTATCCTGTTACCAAATCACTGTTTATTTACACGTGGAGAGTCTTTGACACTGATCCAGCTCCCTCAGAGTCAACTGTCAGAGTGAACAGAACCTCTGACGCTCCTGTTTATATCTGTCAGCCAGGGCTCCCTGATCAGACCAGATTAACAGCCCCAATCAGGGAACTCATATTCTATGAGGTCCCCCTGGCTAACCTCGTTACTATCACTACAGACTAGATTGGGAAAACACAGGAAGGATGACTGGGGTGTCCAATAACAGGGGTCATATTCTCAGGGTGAAAGGAAGGCCATTTAATGAGATGAACAGAAATTTCTTCACCCAGAGAGCGGTGAACCTGTGGAATCTCTGCCACAGAAAGTGTTTGAGGCCAAAACACTGAAAGTTTCCGAGAAGGAGTTAGATGTAGTTCTTCAGGCTAAAGGGAATGGGAGAAAGCGGGGACATTGTACTAGGTTGCCATGATTATGTTTAATGGGACAGCAGGCTTGAAGGGCTGAACAGTCTACTCCTGCCCCTATCTTCTCTGTTTCTAATGCTGCTGGGAACACCTAATACAACAGGCCGAATCCAGTTTGTAACTGGACATCTTATCCAGGGTCCTTCTGGTGCTGGATGTCAGCCTCAGATTTAGGCCTCACTGCATCCATTTTGTATCCGTAAGCCTGCTACATGGAGACTTACCCTCTACCCCTCAGTGTGTTTTTAATTTAAAAGTTCCTCCCCATTTACAAGTAAACAGAAGGGCATATGGATATATGACTGGCCTCAGGCCACTGTGGATGTTCATCTCACAATGAGAAGAATTGTACCTTGATTAACATTGCTGCACACATCAGAGAGAATTTGGCACCATTTTTGCAAGAGCTGCAGTTTGATAACCTGCTATTTTCTCACCTCTGGTGTGATGACAGATCTCTACAGACAACCAGACCTGTTAATGAGCTCTCAGCTGTTTATAAAAACTCTTGCTGCAGTTGGGAACAGTGAGGAACATAGAGTGTTGGTGTCAGGTTGGGGAGGGAGAAGACTATAAAGTCTTCTATGAAGCTACAGTTCAGTCCTGCCTGATGCATTTATCCTCAAAGCACTGGCTGCATACAGAACCATGCAATATCTATATATCCATTTATTATAAATTCCTGCCATTCTAAAGACCACAGTGGTAAACTCTCAGCAATCACCTTTGACAGCTGCTGTACAGAGACCTGTTGCTTTATGTATTGACAAAAGAGCAAGAAGGCACTGAGAGTAAGAATTGTAGAATTATTGGCACAGTCACTATCATACAAGTACTGCAATTTGCGCAGTTAGTGGAACTGGCAACAGACAGATTTAATGAACTGAGGTTTCACATGAACAAACAACAGTAAGAACATATTGAATCAGTGTTTGCACTCTTGTGACCTGTGCCATACTAAATGGTAGCTGACAGCACCAAAGGGGTCCGAACACAAGCCACAAATGTAATTTTACCAGTTTCAAAATCTCCACACGCCCCCCCCCCCCCCCCCCCACCCCGGCCTCATCCCATGACCAACCCTCCCTCTCATCCCCGCCTCTTCTCTCCCACCTAACCGCCCCTCCCACCTACCTTCCCCAACCCCACCCCACCTCTCTCTATTTATTTCTGAGCTCCCTTCCCCCTTCCCATTTCTGAAGAAGGGTCCCGACCCGAAACATCAGCTTTCCTGCTCCTCTGATGCTGCCTGGCCTGCTGTGTTCCTCCAGCTCCACACTGTGTTATCTCTGACTCCAGCATCTGCAGTTCTTGCCATCTCGCAGATGGTATTTTGACCTTGATTGCACAGAAACATAGAAAATAGGAACAGGAGTAGGCCATTCGTCCTTCAATCCAGTTCTACCGTTCAATATGATCATGGCTGATCATCCAACACAGTCCCCTGTTCACACTTTGATCCCTTTTAACCCTAAGAACTATATCTAACTCCTTCTTGAAAACATTCAATGTCCTGGCCACTTTCGGTGGAACAGAATTCCACAGGCTTGCCACTGCCTGACTGAAGAAATTTCTCCTCATCTCAATCCTAAATGGTCTACCCAATATCCCATGACCCCTGGTTCTGGATTCCCCTGTCATCAAGAACATCTTTCCTGCATCTACTCTGTTCTGGTTTAGTTCTAAATAAGAATTTTATAGGCTTGTATGAGGTCTCCCTCATTCTTCTAAACTCTCCAATAAATGCAGCCACAGTCTCTCTTCATACATCAGTTCTACTATCCCAGGCATCAGTCTGGTAAATCTTCATCGCACTC